GACCCCCCCCCCCCCCCCCCCCCAGAGCCTGGTCCGGTGAGAACCCGGCGTGCTCCGTCCCGGCTTTGTAGGGATGGGAGGTCAATGGTTTAAGGATTACGGCATGCAAGATTATGGGTCCCCCCCCCCCCCCCCCCCGGTGTTTGCCATCGGGGTTGGGTTTTCGTCGCTTGGCAACGACGTTGTAAAACAAGCCAATTCACTGCTTGAACTCGGCAACCGGGTTACCGTTTTTTTTTCTGCGGTAACCATAATGGTGGTCGAGTAGATCATGTTGTGCGGGGTCGAGAACGCTCACTCCGCGCAAGGGGGATGATCGCTTCGAGCTTGGTGATGTGAGAGCCTGGTCCGGTGAGAACCCGGCGTGCTCCGTCCCGGCTTTGTAGGGATGCGAGGTCAATGGTCTAACGACTACGACATGCACGACAATGAGTACACCCCGCCCCCCCCCTTAGCTTCGAAAACAGCAACGGACACTAACATACATTTTCGCACAGGTCACCACGAGGCTTTTCCAAAATTCTACCACGTCATTGGGAACCATTTCAAGTGGCCATCACCGCCGGCCCTGAAGCATTCATCTTCGTGCCAACGGTCACCGGTGTTTGTCCACCCACTTGCACACTCAGACGTTTTTGTGCCGTGTTTTTTCTTGCCCTGTGTGCCTCAGATGATCGAGCCTTCGTACGCGCTGGACCTAGGGAACGACACGAGCGCACCCAAGCAGAGCGTCTCCCTTGCATCCGTTCGCGGGATCCGGAGCCAAGGATTGGCGCGAGGAAGCCTCGCCTACAACCGGGTGGGGGGCCTGGTGTACCCGGCGGCCACCATCGGGGTCGTGTACAGCCGGAAAACGCACAGGTATCTACCGCGCGGAGACAGGCGCAGGCGTGTACACTAACCTCATTTTCTGGTCGAGCAGGACGATCACCGTACAGGAACCTTTCGCGGTAGAACGTTCTTTCGTCGCTCACCGGAAGAGCATGAGTCTGCGGACTAGTCGAGTTGCGGCAAATTATCGGTTCCGTAGAAAAGCCTAGGGTCGGCAGGAATACGACAATGCTTTTTCTGAAACTTCCTCCTTTGATTTTGCACAATCAATGCGCAACAAGCTTCTGGCATGCACTTTGGCCTACTCTGTATTCCCCTGTTATATTTCTCCGTCATTAAAACGATTTTATTCGGCTATGACAAGGACCGTTCCAAGCTAAATAGAGTGCCGTCCCCCCGTTGCCTGCTTTCAATATGTTGTTGTCCTCAACAGCCAGGGGTACTTTCGCGGGCATGCCGGGAAACAAATCATTTTCCTTCGCGTTAGCCCGAACCAGCGATTTGTTGCGTCAGGCGAGGCCGGAACAAGACCGACAGTGCGCGTGTGGGATGCAGCCACAAGCGTCGAGGTAGGCAGGGAAGATACGAAGAATCGCCCCCGCGTGCGGGTATTGAGCAATGTTTGTCTCACAATTTGTTTTCCATCCTGCGGATACCATGAACAACACACATATATGTGTTCACGAAGAAGGCGTTCGCCATGACATTCCTTCCAGCACAACAGCGCCACGGTTTCAACTCAGTAATTCTAACTGGTCTGGGTTTCGTGGATAGAGGGGATGCGAGCTGTCGCTCTGATGGCCCTCACGATGGATAGTGATACAGGATGAAAGCATGTTGTATCGTCCGTTTTCCGCCCACCGAGGTGGCACAATTACCACCCAGACTACCTGGGCACGCCGCCACTCTGAACGAGCCCAGTCTGTGACTGAACCCAACGCAAAACCGCATCTTGCCACGTGTTTGATAGACGGATGATCAGAATGCATTAAGCCTCCCTGGCAAATCCCAGCCCTCCCCTTCCCATCCTGGTTTTTCTGTTGTTACTATCCCGCCAACTTGCTGGTACCGATCTCGGTTGCTTGTGCGCTCCACACTCGCGCAGCTGTGCACGCTTCCGCACTACCACCGCCAAGGGATCGCCAGCCTGGCGTTCTCCAAGGACGGCAGGAGGCTGGCCACGGTAGGGGTAGATTCGGACAAGTCTCTGGCCGTCTGGCGATCTTGCTCGGGTGAATGGTACGACGCCGAGCTCCAGGTGGGGGATGTGGCGTGATTGGGGCCAAGATAGCTGTTTGTGGTGGGGCTTGGCTACGGGCTCGATGCATGCGACCGTGCATCTTTCTTCCCGCAGCAATATTAGAACAGAACCAACCGCCCCTCACATTCAGATCGATTCGCCCGCCGTTCATGTGTGAGCGCTAGAGTTTCTACTGCAGCACGAAGCAGGGAAGCATGCATTGCACACAATGAACATGAAGCTAACCTTTCGAGTTGAGTTCAGCAACATCGTCATGTACTATATTCAAGGTTCCCTTCTGCTGGAATAAATGTTGTTTGAGTTTAGCAGGGTGCACTCTCGACACACGGTGTGAGCTACTGTTTCCTCATACACCCGCTGCGTATGTCTCAAGGGCCTAAAGTCAGCCAGTAGAGGGGTAAATAAACCGAGGGTTCGCTCGCGACGACGGTGATCACTTGCATACAACTGAAGATAGACAACCACGGCACACGGATGCAAGCTGCACTCGTTCGTGTTTCCGCTCGCTCCCTCTCTCTCCTTCACTCTCGCCCAATATATCCCTAACAATGTGCTCGAATGGGACTACAATGCGCTTGGTAGGCGACCGGGAAGGGGGGGCGAGGTTTCGGGCACGTGTTTTTCGCGGAGTTTTCTCACTCAGACGACGACGAGCTCCGCGTCATTACCGGAGGGGTCGGTCACGTCAAATTCTGGGCTCTTAACGGAAGGTAAACAATAATAAGATGACGAAGAAGGAGGGAAAAGAAGAATGCGCGTATGGTTGAGCCACGTGGGTATAACTGATGCCGAGCAACTTTACGTTCAACAGGCGGGGTCCTTGGGTAGGTTTCCGAAAACAAACACATTTTCAATTATCCAAACACCCTATATGTCGTTGTTTCGGTTAATCACTCTTGAACATCAGCCAGGGGAGTAAGGTGTTGGCCGGTGTACGAAGGTGGTGCGTAGCTGTAGCCGCATCCCTGTTGCTTTCCGTTTATCTATATCGTCCGCTGCGTCCGCACTCTGTGGGTTTAGGCAGGCGGATAAAGATGCAACTTGGTGAAAAATGTAGGGAGGTGGTGGTTATTTTCTTTACTCCGAGCGCCTACCTGCACCCGTGGAGGATGGTCAATGGCGTGTATCACGTCCGGTGAAATCGAGAAGAGCCAATAATCAATGTCCCCGGCAACCCAGAAAGAAATAAAGGCTGGATGAAATCACAACGGAGGAGACGGATCCGACTTGTTTCGACAATTCTCCGTCGTGCTGCCTTCCCCCTTCCGCAAAGCACTCATTGTAAGAATAAGCTAGGCCAGCGGGAAGCTTGCCCCCAGCTAAGGCAAACGTGAGCGGTCTTGTCCTTCTTTGATGTTCACCCACGGTTGATTCCACGTTATTAGTACCTGCCGTGATCATCGCCATCACGCCGCGCCGCGCCTCGCTGCACACGGCCCGACTTTTGCCACCGCAGGTTGTTCAACGCCAGAATGGGCCTCTTTGGGAAGGTGGGCAAGCGGCAGACGATGCTGTGCGGAACGGCCATCGCGGCGGCCCGGTTCGTCAGCGGCGGAGTAAGCGGCCACCTGTACGTGTGGAAGGGGAGGTGAGAGTCGTTGCAGTCGGGGGCCCTCTATGGTGCGGGCATGTATGTTGCCAAGCGTTTTCACCCGCGCCATGGCGGGCACCCGCAATATTCAATGCATTAACCAGACTTGATTGTTCCATCTATGCCAGCCAATTTCACCTGCATGGTATCTACAGGCTGCGGTATTTAGCCGCTTTCCGTATTTCACACATGCGTTCTATATTGGCCCGTCATGTTGTTGAGGGGTAGTATCGAAGACATGGTTTCGTTTCATCAGGTTTGTACACTCCCGCCCGTTTGTCAAGAGCTTAGACAGGCCACAAGACGGTTTCCTCGTCGATAGTTACACAACATACGAAGACTAGGTTGTCCACTAGCCCTAAATCGTCCACGTTATTGTATGCTGGTGCTTCAGGTGGCTCGAGAAGACCCTGCGCGCCCACCAACGGTGCATCAACTCCGTCCATCATACCGCAGGGGGATTAGTCACGGGTGGGAAGGACGGCTTTGTCAAGCTCTGGAGCACGCAACTGGCGCACCTCAAGACTTTCGACTTGAGCGAGGTGACTACCAAACAAGGATGGTTCTTCCGGCAGGCAGAACTCCTCTTCAGTTATCCTCGTGAAAGTAAAATTAGGTCGAGACTTTTTTTATGTTCAGAGACGTTCACTGTGGAAAGGTCCTACAACGGGGGATAATTCTGCTGGAAAGTGAGAAGCGCTGGCTGGCAACGTTGGACTGAAGATGTTGGCTCGTCCGATTCGTTGGTCCTGATTCAGTACCCTTGTTCCCCTACTTTCTAGTGCTGGCATGCTCATGCATAAGGTGAACCGTAAGGTCCGCACCCGCCATACCCCCATCACTTGACATCCTCAAATGAACCAACCAACCGATGCTCGGTCCCATCCCAATCGCTGGTATGCTCACATTGACAGCCCATGACTGTCGCTGGCAGAGGTGACACCAGAAAAAGGACTCACTCAATCCATTCGAAGCTGGCATTCATACCCAATGAAGTAGGCGCAACACCCTCAAACAATCAAACAGTCAAATATTCATTATTTGACACAGCTTCACTCATGATGCGCCTCGCCGAATACCCCACAGCGCTTCGCGCTTGGTGTAAAGCGTCTCAGCCTCGCCCGGTGACTAACCGGCGTGTTGCGTCCCGGCTTTGTAGGGGCGCACGGTCTTATGGCTGCGGCATGATCATGAATATACCTCCTCCCCCCCATTCCAGTCTCGGTTCTTCAGCGAACAACTCTCCGCCCCCCCTCCACACAAACACCCCACACCCCACACTCCCCGTAGGCGACAGTCCCGCCCCTTCTTCGCGGTGTGCGATCGGTCTGCGCGTCTCTCGACGTTACCGGGTCGGAGGTGATCAAGATCGCGGCGGTGACGGCTGGCTCTGAGGTTTACGAGATAAGCAGAGAGAGCGGCTCCATGATGTTGCTGCAGGTGTGTGGTCGGTGTGGTGCATGCTGGCGTTTTGTCGCTCGTGGGATCGACAGGGCGTGCCAGTGATCGGTCTGAGGTGCTGCCCAGGAAGTAAGTAATTGCGGCATACAACACACCGAATTTTGAAAGTGAAATCACAAAACGCACGGCAATGACAACAACAATAGCGACAACAACAACAACAACAACAACAACGACAACAACAACAACAACAACAACAACAACTACCACCTACGACCACAACGACCACAACGACCACAACGACCACAACGACCACAACCACAACATGACAGGAGGGCCACTTCAGCGGGCAGCTCTGGGGGCTGGCGGTACACCCAACGGATGGAGACATCTTCGCAACGGCAGGGGACGACCACAGCATTCGAGTGTGGAGCGTGTCCCTAGGAGTCATGCTGCGGAAGGCGTACGTGGATGGCACGTGTCGAGCGCTGGCATGGTCACCCGACGGCCGGTACGCTACGGCAGCAGGCTGTTGTTTTCTCGTACTCATCCCCCCACCCAGAAGGCAACCTAACATATCTATTCAACTCATCAGTCCGCTGGGCCTTTTTGCTGAGCTTCCGCGCTTCTCTCATAGGGGCTTATGCTATTTCCCCCTGCCCACGTCATCGCGCGTACCTTGATTCCAATTATTGACCCAACGCTCGAAAAAGGCTCCTCCTCATTGGGATGGGCGGCAGCATCGGTGGCGAGCGCACGAGGAAGGATGGGACGGTAAGCAACACACCCGATCTCTATTTTGTTTAATATTGTTTTTTTCTCGCTTGAAATTTGTTCACGAGCGCGCCCACTTGCGACGGGCGAAACGCAAGAACTACGGCCACTGCCAATGAAACACTCAGACAATTGAAGAAGGGATCTGAAGAAAAAAAACACACGCCGAAGCCCACGATGAAAACAGGGGGGCGTAGACGTTATAGAGTGCAAGCTTCCAAAAGATCAACTCCTTTCGAAGCGCCTCTGCCCTGTGTGTGTGCTTGCATGTTTCTTTCCCCACCGGTATCCTCCACGTGTTCGTGCCACGGGTGGGTGTGCTTTTCCAGTCAGAACTCATCGTCACGCAGAATAAACGGCCGAGTATTGACTTAAAGACAGCAAGAAATTTACAAAGCGGGAAGTACCTTCCCGATCATGTCCGCGGTCCCAACTCGTTTTGTGATTCTGTGTGTGACGTGTCCGTGGCCATCAGTTCTTGATTTTCGACGTGTACAACATGGAGATCCTGTACGAGGGGAGGGACTCTCGCTCTTGGATCCGGGCGTGCTGCTTCAGTCCCGACGGCAAGAGCTTCGCGGTGGCATCGACGGACAACAAGATCTACATCTACGACTCTAAGTCCTACGCGCTCAAGGCTAAGGTTAGAGAAGGTGGAGAGAGGTAGAACGGACGCGATATTTTTTTTCTCTGCTTTGCAAGGATGGTTGCCAGAAAGACCATTTGAGCACAGTCAACGTCGACCCCCACCTATCATTGTCATCTTATTTTCCAGATCCGAACCACAGTTTTTTACGTATCGATGGATATGAGATTCGCAGTATGATTCTCCACCACTCAACCCGCTGACCCTCTTGTCCATAGATTCTTGTTCGTTCGTTTGTACGTGCGTCAACAACGCTCGAGAATGGTGCGTAGGGGACCTGAACGTTTTCGATCAACATATTGACTTGGAAAAGTGAGAATGAACAGCGCATGGTCCGCAGAGCAACCTCCTACTGAACCCTGGGAACACTTTGCGGAAACCCCCGACCCTATTATAACGCAGGCCCAGAAACACAACAGCCCCCTCGTGGCCCTGGACTTCAGCGAGGACTCCAACTACGTGCAGTCCGCCTCCGAGGACAACGAACTCCTCTACCGTGAGTTGTGACCAGCTTTCTAGTCTTGTTATAATGAAAGGAGATGACTCGCTCATCACGCTTTCTTCAACCATGACGTGTAGATTTGCACGTTGGCAAAGTAAATGTCATAACTAGATTTTGTGAAACGCGCTCCTTAATCGTGAGGTGCAACGTTTTGTGCCGTCAGTCAGGTGACGCACGAAGACACCGCCTTTCGTCCCTCGGACTCGATTGTACACGCTCGTGACTTGTGGACTAGTGCGGAGAAGAACTGGGGAAACGTAGAGCTGGAGGATGTCGCACCTAGAGCTATCAGTTTTCGGTGCCATAAGCGGCGCAATGAAAAGTCCTCAGCGAGACGTTCACCAGTGATACTGAGTACGGCGTTTATCTATCCGCGCCCTCGTTGTGGTTCGTCACCCCACCACACCCGCTTCTCCTTTCAGATAGCGCTGGCGACGGCCTGCCGTTCGCAGTGCAAGCCCAGCTGAAGCACATCAAGTGGTCACAGTACACGTGTCCGTTCGGCTGGCCTGTTCAGGGGGCCTGGCCTCCCGTAGCCGAGGAAAACGCCGCGACGTTAACCTCGCTCCACCGGTAAGTTGCAGGAACCGATGATGATTTCGTTGCGAACATATTAAGTTCGAGGCAAAACCCGCCTGCAATGTCGATAGATGCATCTAGACAGACACCTCTGCAAATTGATTATGTTACGGTGAACACACTCTACCCTTACCTAGAATCTGGATAGCCAACGCATGTTTTCTCATCCATCTCCTTTTTTGAGCGGTGGCATCGGGTTTTCTCGCGAGTACGGTGTCTTACCCAACCCTGCTCTAGAGGCCCCACGGCACATGCAAAGTACTCGATACTACTGGAACGAAAATGCATGCACTTCTTCTTCGTGCCGCCGATGGCGGTTGTTTTGTGTGTCAACACAGATCGCACGACAGAACACTTCTGGTGACCGCGGACGATGCTGGCAATGTCAAGCTGTTCAGATACCCCGCACTATCGAAGCAGGTGAGACTAGTGAGCGTGGATGGATTTCTTAGCGGCGATTTTGGTGGGGATGATGTGGTATGTGTCAAAACCGCATAGGGCTCCATCTCAAAGAGGAAAGGGTGTAATGGCACGTTTTTCCCCGGCGAGGTGTGCTGTTTCTCGATACATGAGGGGAAAGGGCTTGCAAAAGCTAAAACCTGCGAGTCCTCTTCCTGCAGAACGCCAGTCAACAAATCGCCATGTGTATCTGTTTTCTTGCGGAGTTCCCCGCGTCAAGCAGCTTGCTGTGGTGCATCCTTCATCTGATGACTTTTCGCTGCTGCCATTGGCTCACCGTCTTTCGTCCTCGGAGCAGGCGGGTTACAAGCTCGTCTCGGGCCACGTCGGGGGCATTTCGTGTGTCAGGTTCACGGCTGACGACGCGCACATCGTGTCCATCGGCAAGGGCGATCGAGCGATCTTCGTCTGGAAGGTCGATGAGGCAGCGGACGGGCTTCCCCCGTAGGAAGGGGTCGGGAAAAAGGGCGAAAGCGCGCCCGCAGCCAAAGCGACGCTGCGTTTTGGTGGTGTCTGCGAAGTATAAGAAAAGACAACGAGAGAAACGAGAGACAGAGATTCATCAGCGAGGGCAGCATGTTAACACGCGTGACAATGAAAGCGATGGCGAATGAACTATTAAGCCCAAACGCAGGCCTTGAAGCAAGATCAAGAGAGACAACGAGCACGCAAAACGCACGCGAAGAGCAAGCTACGCTTCGCCACCCTTGAGGTGTTCTGGTTTTGTCTCGTCTCTCTCTAGGTGGGAAATAGTCGGCCTCAGAGAAAGTTCGGCGGATAAAACAAGCCACCTTTGGAATGGCCTTATCACAACGGCAAACGGAGAGACCCCCGTGTTCTTTGAGTGCAAGTACTTCGAGAAAAATGCAAAGTGAGACTGCTTTCGCGGCGCGTTCTTAACACACATGTAAAATCCACAAATGTCACAAACGGGTGGCCAACACACCAGGTTGTAGGGGCACTTTTGCCAACCTCCATCTTCAATTATTTTGGCACGAGTTACAACCTCCCCACCTTGGGTAATCCTTGCAATGCAACGATGGCCAGGTTGTGCAAGGTATACCTATCTTGGAGGTTGCGCGTTGTTTACAAGCCGGATAGGGGGCAGGTTGCCGATGGTAGTGCAAGGTGTACCCTTTCTTGGTGGTTGGTGCGCTACTACAAGCCGGATAGGAGGCAGGTTGCCGATGGTAGCACAAGGTGTACCCTTTCTTGGTGGTTGGTGCGCTGCTAACAAGCCGGATTGGGGTCAAGCTGTCGATGGCGGCGCAAGGTGTACCATCTCTCGTGGTTGGTACACTGCTTACAAGCTGGACAGCGGGCAGGCTGCCGATGGCAGCGCAAGGTGTACTCTTTCTTGGAGGTTGGCGCGCCATGCACGATTCGGATAGGGGGGAGGTTGCCTATGTTATGACAAGGTGTACCCTTTTTTGCAGGTTGGCGCGCTTCACACAAGCCGGTTGGGGGGGCAGGTTGCCGGTGATAGTGCAAGGTGTACCCTCTCTTGCAGGTTGGCGCTTTGCGCACAAGCCGGTAGGGGGCAGGTTGCGTGTTGGAATGCGTATCCTCTCATCGAGGGTGCGCACGATGCGGCCGGTCAACAACAAACAGCAGTCAGTGCTCTACACCGTAGTGGCGGGTTCAATTCCCCTGCACTACGTTTTTTTTTTGTTCATGTTTCATTCGTTTTTTCGCCCCCTGTATTCGAATCACTACAATTTTGCCGTCGGTACATTCCCGGGCAAACTCCTGGAACAACGACATCCTTCCCGTGCCCATGCATCATACGCATGTTGCCAGCTCTACCTTGAAATGTTTCATGAAAGAAAGTCCAAGGAGTTTCATGAAAAGTTCCATGGAGCTCCATGAACTTCCATGAAATTTTTCGCGGAAGTCCATGAAACGTTTCATATTTCGCTACAATTACAATCATCTGATAACCATCAATTCATTTATCATGACACCGTGTTACGTTCTACTGTAGTACAAAACGTCATTATCACACCACATCTATCTACGTATGTATCATGGCATACAGCAATCATGCAGCTGCATCTATTCTACTACATCACACACACATCCTCGAGGTAATGCGCTGCCTTTCAACACGCCCCCATGACGAATGAATGAATTTGAATGCAATGTTACGTGATCTTGATCAAAACGTCATCGTTGTCCTAAACCATTTACAAGGAGTTAAGCCGTAGACGGTAGCTTGCTCCTAGAGGTAGATGAAGGTTCCGTCGTTGACACTCTTGTCCACGGCCACGTAGAGATCGGAGAGAGAGTTGCTTGTTGTTGCTGGGAGACGATCAGCAAGGATTTAAGATGAAGTCGGGATCCAACTTCATCTCAGGGGGCACACAGAGTAGTCAATTCTAAGGGGGGGGGGGTATGGGTACAAGAAGGAATACCTCCTGATCATCCCACATCCTATGAACAATAGGATGTACCCTATTCATGCTATCCTTAACAATCTACTGCACGAATTCTCTCACAGTCTGTCTTGGTATTATGCATCCTCTGTGTGCTTCTTCTGCATTATATACATATATATATATATATATACATACGCCCCCATCAACCGGTATTCGAATTTGTTTGGTGTTCCATAATTTGGAATTCCATGAAATATTCCATGGGCGTTCATGAAACATTTCATGGGCATTCATGGAACATTTCATGGGCGTTCATGGAGCATTATTAACATTTCATGGATGGTTATGGGCTTTCATGAAACATTTCATGAACGAACGTTCATGGGCGTCCATGAAAGCATGTCATGAACGTCCATGAAATTTTTCCATGAAATGTTTGATGACAAGGAGTGAAATTATTCTTCATGGAATGTTTCATGACAAAAATGTCATGGACATCCATGGAACTTTTCACGGAATGTCGTGAAAGTTTTCATGGAATTCCATGGATTTCCATGGAAGACGTTTCATGGAAGCCCATGGAAGCCCATGGAAGTTCCATGGAATTCCATGAAAAATTCCATGGAAAAGTACGAAAATGTACAAACCCCTCTGTAACGGGATCTGATCTGAGAGCTTGTTGTGCCCTGCACAATGTAGCTGGTACACACATAGCACTCACTCGTGAATCCCCGCACACACTCACACAAAAGCCCAAATTGATCAGTGTACGCGTTCATCTAGTACGTACGCATTGTGCCAACGTATCCTGGGCTCTTGTATCTACATATCACAGGTGGCCAGTGGGCACCGTTGTACGGGGGCGTTGAGTAACCTCCGGCCAACGAGTGGTTATTACATGGGATAACGTAGGGGGGTTACAGGCCGAGCCGGCATAACGTGCCCGGGTTGTGAAAGCGGTCATCATGCGAGGAGGGTGGGTGTGAAGAGGGCAGGGGGAGGGATAGAGTCCAGATAAACGCCAATTTCATAAAGAAAGGTAAAATATACACAATGAACAAGGTGACGTACAAGGTAGGGTTCGTCTGCTACACATACTGTAGTAGATGGTTCTTGTGCACTTTGTAGGCTGTGACTGACTTTTTCTTGTCGAAAAAAACTAGGGCTTGCTGCAATAATCTGACGCAATGAATGCCTTATATTTACGAAGCACAAACCATTTTTTTTGTGTGGTGGATTAATTCGAACCACGCTGCTTTGTTCCAGCAATGACCAGCGACACACACAGTGGCGGTAGCTATTACAGTCAGGACCACATCGCGTAACAGCCACGAAACGGAGGGAAATCAACAAACTAAATCTACAATAGCCACGTACTACGTACGTACGTACGTACGTACGTACGCCGACGACGACGTAGGTTTCTACCGCCGCCGTAGTACGTAGTCGTCATAGTCTATCCAAATCAGATCATAGACTATATTTCTGAGAAACCTATCGTTGTTGGAATTTGTAGACAAGTCTATCGTGTGTAGACTGGCAAGAGTAACAACTATCCTGTGTGTCGACTGAGCTATTGCTTCTGGCTACAAGAGAACAAGACGTGCTGACCTTCGGCGAAATCTACAAAGCCTCACGTCGACTATTAGCGAGTTTCGAAAAAAAAAATCCTTCGGAAGGTTCTCGAAACGGCAGAATGAACGAGAATCGCGGACGACACGGAATCCAATGTCGTGCCCGACCGCTAGAGCCTAGCGGCCAGAGGAAGGAGGACCACGCGGTTCCAACATGAGACGCCCCCCACCGTATCTTCGCGAAGACGTGAGAGAAGAGGGTTGGCTCAGGAATGACACCACAACCTATCTACTGTACAAGTAGTAGTAGCATCGAAAATTGTCCTGGCAGAGCAATGCACCTTAGAATGGCTACATAGAACGGAGGGCAAATACAAATAATGAACAGCTGTATCCGAACACATGTCTTGTAAGAGATCTTCTGGCTTGTTGATAATAGTACATTGGGTTGGAGGCAGGGGGTTGCAATCCCAAGCTTCGACGAAGTCTTCTTGTTGGGTCGTTATTACCACCATCTCGAGCACGTTCTGACCGGCAGCTTCGCGAACAACTCTCAATAATAGCGATTCGGCGATGACCACCCTCGCCTCGCTCGTCTGTGTTGACATATACGCGGCCTTTCGTTGACCGTAAAGCTGCCCAGAGGGAAATGGATCTTGCGGACAGCAGCAACGACGGTGAGCAATGCTTTGTTTACAGTACCTAACTAGCCCATGGCCCGTGACGACGACCGAATGAAGCAGTCCCTGCGGAACCAACTGCGCTTCCCCGACTTTGTTTCCCATATCCGATTCTAGACTGACTGTAGTCTGCACGTATCTATGCTCTGATTTTGACATCATCGTCGTCGGCAAAATAAAAGTTTCTCTCATCAAGACGTTGTTTAGAGAATATTGAATGAATTTTGAGCTCTCTTGTTCTATGCGTACGTTGGTTGATTGGTGAAGCGTCCGCGGGGCATGATGGTCGCACGGTGTATGTAGCAATTATTATTTGCTCCGATGAGTCTCTCTTGAGCATGTAAGCCCGGAATGTCCTTGTTGTTGTTGTTGTCTTACATTAATAACCGTTCCGTTCTCTCTACCCAGTCTAGTCAAACTCTTGAGCGCGTGGTGGATAAAAACACACTGACTGACTGTATCTAAAAAGTCTAACGGACTAGACTACAGTACTACCTGTAACCTGAACCCTACGTTTTAATTCTGACCGACCTCATCGAAGTTTTCGAACAATGAAGAGAGGTTATCGATATCTCCGCATCCATCAAAGTCTAGTTCTGAAATACGGCATTGTACGCCATTCAATGTTGACCCGCTGCCGTCCGTCCGTGTTTTGCACCGCAGCATATGCACACAGCGAGAGAAATCCTTCTAGATCTTGACAATGGGAAAATACATCAGATCAGAAGGTTCACCGGGAGGGCGGCACGCAAGAAGAGGAAACAGACTACTAGCAGATCGGGGGGAGGAGCACAACAACATCATCGTCGTCTACGGCAGGTACTGTATGGGCGGCACGCATTTTGCATGTGATGTTAACAATAATGGGGCAGCGCACAGTACTGATGGAGAAGATGCAGTATGTATGATGTGTGCTTGTCTTTTCAACACTCCTCCTGGGTAATGTTCCGAGCGTACAAGTTTGGCACGAGCCAAGCAAGGTAGGTACTAGCGGTAGCAGCCACGGCTTCAAAGCGACCAAACGAAACGGCATACGCTGAAAGCCTCCCGCTTACTACACAGTGCACGTACAATGAGCGTTCCTTTACCGACGGCGGATGATACGCTTTCACGATTCTTACACACCAGTAAACAAACACACCACACGCAAAAAACGAACAGGGGTGTACTCATTGTCAAACAAACAGGGGGAGCGGACTAAATGTAGAATTGTGCCCAGGCCGCCGCCAACAACAATGTCGTCGGTGTTGGACACCCGAGAGAAAATGGTGAGGCAAATCTTGAGGCTCACGCGCAGCGGCAGCTACAGCCCAACGAAAACCACCACCCCACGCGACCCGGGGAGAGCGTTGCCGGCGACAGCAGAGACGACGACGCCAGAGTGCCGTGCGCGAGGCATCGCAAAGGCAGCCACGAGCCTGGGCATCATCTCGGCGAAGGAGGCGGACATCGTCATCAGAAAGCATGTGAGCCCAAGGATCGAGGCGTAGGGGTATTGCAAAAACAGTCGTGTGGCGTTTGTTGTTGGTTTGAGTCCTTCCCTATCCCCCCCCCCCCCCCCCCCCC